TCCCGCGGCGCGGCAAACTCGGTCGGCGTCGCGCTGTTGGCGTGCGTGGACCGCTGCAGCGAGATCCACGTCGACGGCGACGCGTCACGGTCCGCGCCCACAATGTTGCCATAGTCGTAGCGCGGGTTCATGCTCGGCTGGAGGCCGGCGCCAAAGGCCGGTCGCGGCGCGCCGTGGTTCATCTGGTCCTGGGTCGACGTGACGTACATGGCCGACGAGAGGCCCTTCGCCTGCCTGGGCACGCCCGGCCGGTGCGACTCCTCGACAAAGTTGCCCACGAGCGTACCGCACTCGTACGACCGCTTCCCGCCCCGGAGGATGTTGGAGCCGCCGCCACTGTGCCGGTTGATGCTCATCGCGAGTGGTTTTGTGTGGGACCTCACAAGCTATTTTCAGCGCCGAGGTGATTCGCGTCAACCGGCAGCCTTCTCCAGCAGTAGCGATACTGACGCAGGACCTTCTTCGTGCACGGTCCTCCTCCATGGTCCTCCTCCTCCGCCTGTCACTACTACGTGGCAAAGCGACGTGGCAAGCTAGCAAGGGACGGTGTCGTCGAGCGTACTTAATCGAATGGTTTCATTTTAAACAATTTACCATACTCTTATGAAGATATTCTTTTTCAATACGCATCGTCGTATCAACATTTAAGTGAAGGGTCCAAGCGCCTGTTTTTGTAGTCGAATACTTTAGTGAATAGCCTTCACTAAAGTAACGCGGGGTTGCCGCCACGTAGCGCACTTTGCACTTATCGACTTGAAGCCTAAGAACCATGTTGAACGTGTCGCTGCCGCAAGCCATCTTCCTCCCGCCGCTGCTCATCGTCCTCGCGTCCATCTCGCTCGTGACCTTCCAGAACCTCTTCTCGACGCTCACGGCCTGTACGCTGCTGCTGCTGCGACGGCGAAGAGAACGCTGACGCTGCCTCGTAGATGCGACCAAGTATTCGTCCAACGACATCATCAAGACCATCAAGCCCGGTGCGCAGGAGCCTACGTGCAGCAATCCGTGTCTTATGAAGCGCATTAGGCCTCGTCCAGGTCAAGAACTTTCTCGAGCACGTCCTCGGGAAGGCGTCGGCCTTCAAGTTCAACCTCCAGCACGTGCTGCTCATGGTCATTGTGTTTGTGCTCATCGCCATCTTCAACGAGCTTGCGCAAGCGAATGCGCTCAAGGAGAAGGAGCTCAAGCTTCTGCGCGCGGCCAACAAGAAGACCGCCGACGACGAGGCCAAGAAGACCAAGTAATGTAGAGCGCCGCCTTTCTGCGTATTCTGGCACCTCGTGGTGGTATACGACTTGGGTTGCAGCACTTCAAAAAGAGCTCGTTGGCGCGCGACCGCTGCAGCTTCCCGGACGTCGTCGTGGGAATCGTCTTGGAGCAGCACGGCGTTGGCGCAAGGCAGGCCGTCTCGACGCATGGCGCAATAGACGCGCAGGCGATCGTTGCATAGCAATGCCATGTACAGTAGTGCATGGAAATCGTCGCGCTGCCCTCGGTGATGCTGTCGCCCGCGAGCCAGGAAATCTTCGCCGAGCGGCCGCCTGGTTTCGGATACCGAAACGCGTGTAGCCCGGTCCGTAAGAGCCACGGCGCCCTTTGTGCCCCGGGGCACAATTTGGCGCGCTTCTTGCATTCGAGCGCGTGGCGATCGAGGTGGAGTGTGTGCGGCGGTCAGCGAGGTACCGGTGAGAACGAGCGTGGCTTCAGCGAGCTCGTAGGCACCTACAGTGTTAGTACGTGATTGAAACTACAAGAAAGGTCACGACGTACAGAGGAGCTGCCACGAACGTGGCCGCAAACTGCTCGAGAAAACCGAGCGGCGACATCTGCACCGAGAAGCTGCCCGTTTGAATGAGCACGAAGCCGAAGAGTCCGTTGTCATGACACCATCGTGTCTGTCTCCAGAGTGTAATCTGCGCGACCAACCTGCAACACGGTCACGGGCGTCGGGCACCAAAGACCCCGACGACAACTAGAGAAACGCTGTCGGACCCGCATGGTTGAGAAAGGTGGCATCAAACGGGGTTGGTTGCCCCCTTGGTGTCGGTGACGAGCCATTGCATGTGTGACGGCCCCGCAACGCTGAGCCTCTGCAGCGATTGAGAGTCGACTGCCGCTAGTAAGCTTTGTTGGTGAGGACAGCCTTTGCGCCGACGTCGCGGATCTGATGGCGGAACCGCTCGTACCCTGACACAAGGTGTACTTGTTGGAACCTTCAACCCTTTTTGTACGTGGGAAAGGCGCCCCGAACATCACTCATCGCGCGATTAGAGTTGTATGGCATCTACTACGGTAGGGAAGCCGGTTTTCTCCAGACCGCCAAGTGCACGCTCAAGTACAAGAGCCTACGTCAAGTGCCCCAATGAAGACAAGGTCGTCTGCGCGATCGAGACCAAAGGCGACAAACCCATCTACTTCCGCAACCAGTGCTTTCTTGACATTGGCAAGTGCCTCAACTCTGGCCTGAGCACGCTCTCCGCAAGAGCAAACCCAAGCCGCTCTCGGCCGACAATGCCTTGCGGCCACCCACGCGACAAAGCCGACGCCGCTGGGTGACGACGAGGACGATCTGCAGCAAGAAGGCAGCGGTCCCGACGACGTCTGGGACGCCACCGACTTTTACATTGACGAAGACGTCTCGGTCGACGGAGAGATGCCCGAGACAGCCAATGGAACCATGACAACGGTGCCAACCATCACGACGGCGCCTGCCAAACTGACAGCAACCTCAGCCCCCCCGCGCCGCCGACAGCAGCGGCAAGCACGTTATTGTTCTCGGCGCCTTTGTCTTGGCGTTTATTTGAGAACACAATGTACATGTTGTCACTGGTTCATTGCTGCATTGCGGTTTTGATACGAGGTAAGACAAGACTCGAGAGGCCAGGCGACTAAAAGTCGAGGCTGTCGACTAGCGACGCGCGGCCAGCGTCGTACACCGGGGCACGCTTGCCTTCCACGCAGAGCTCAAACGACTTGACCTGCATGGGCTGGAGCGTCACAGTCGTCGGCGACGGGCCCTTGACTGCGTTGGCCGAGAGCGTGAGCTCCTTCACCACGACATGCTCTGCGCCAGGTACAAGCTGGAGCAGATCCACGGACGCCGGTTTGGACCACTCCTGCCAAAGGACTCAGTTTCGATAGAAAGGAGCGGGAGCTGTAGACGTACCGAGTGCTCGTGAATGGCAAAGAGATGGCTCAGACGCACGAGGCGGCAGTGCGGGTGCGCCCAGTGGAGCGCCGTGAGACCAATGTTGGCCGGCCACTTGAGGTCGCCA